TAGTTGTATCAGGTCCAACAACCTCTGATGTTCACACTTCGACTTCCGATAAGTCAAACCAGCACATACCACTTCAACCACTTCTCTCTCCATCTATCTCAATGTTCTTCTTCCAGAGTACTCTTATCCAACTCACACTATTTGGAACATACACTCCATCACGACATCTCATGGTACCATTCTCATCAATCCGAAAATCAGCTCTTCGACTTTAATTCATTAAATTCAATCAATCTATTAACTCAAATTAGAACTTCGACTTCTTCGAATCTTATCAAGAATACCTATAGTCAGTCTCAAGATACAAAGCTCAACTCCCTAAGATATTTTCTTCACAGACCAAACTCATATCCCGAATTTGCTTCATCAGTTCTAACTCATTACCATCATCATTGGTATATACAGAAATTTCCAATTCGATACCTCTGCTACCACTTGGTCTCACTCGAATGGTAATTCAACCCAAAACTATACTCCTTCAGAAGTCCTTATTTATTTCCTCTGCACCATATTCAACTCTTTTTCAAATCAACAAATACCTTAAGTTCTTAAGATCACCAACCATCTCAAATCTCAACTAAACAATTAAGGCTTCCAAACTCCGACACAAACATGCAACAACAACCAACTCCAATTACTTGTCAGATAATTCCCTTATGTACTTTAAGTTGCCTTAAAGCATAACCAAAACTCGATGATGTTGTACTTAACATATCCCCCAATCATATCAACCAAACATCACAAAACACAACAATCTGTTCTGTCGGATTCGGCAAAACCAATACACGAGCTGTTGACAGCTTTCCTAACAATTCCTTAAACTTTCTTCACAGTAGAATATTACTACTTCTTCTCCAACACTGATAACTCAAGTTCCCGATGCTCAACATGATCCTCTATACTCTTCGAGTATATCCAAATATCATCGGTTACCCAACCATTGACTCACTCAATTAAGTATGGAGAATCCTATGCCAAACGGACACTCAATTTGTGAGTCATGGCGGAAATACAAACCTCACTTACTACAACAACCAAACATATTCCATCAATAAATAATTAATTCCATGTCACTACTTCACCATCACATAAAGCATTGTTTCTCGCGCTTCTAATCTTGCGTCATTCCGAGTTACGGTCCTCCCGTTACGACAAAAATACGAAAACAACATTTCCACACTTAGAAGGTCATTCAACACATCTTCAACTCTTGAAATGTTTAAAGGTATAATTATACCAATATAGTATCCCACACCTTACTTCCTTTAATAATCACCAGAAGTCACTATCCACCCTTTATATACTTGACTTCACAATCTGTTGCCACAGCACACACACCAGACACAAGTCTCAAAACTACTCAATCAGTTTAATCCTTGACTATCCAAATAGACATACAATATAGAGCTCTTAATATCAGACTAGTTCCCGTAACTAAGTCAATCACAACTCCACTTCACGTCCTGGCTGTATATCACTATCTTGTCAGAATAACTTCCAGACAACCACAATTAATCGGCAAACTGCCAACTTCCCACTTTCGTTAACACTCAAAATTTCCATCAAAATGAAACATCTCATCACTGTCCTGCGCCGACTCATTAAAACAATTCTTCAGCACTTGGCTTAACTCCAAACAATTCATTGCTCACGCCATCTAAGCTTGCAAGACACGTATATCCCATCCAACACAATCCCAACTACTATCAACAAGAGATTAAGGGTGATCAGTTCCTCAATTTATCGATAGACGGCATAAAATCATGATGGGGTATAAACCATCTTTACCAAACTATAAGAGCGTTTAACCACACACTGAGCTACAACTCCGCACTTGCAGTATCCTGGAGAAGCACAAGTTTCTCCCCCACTTAGATCATTCCCACTTCTGTAGACAAAGGTTAGACAACAAACATGTATCGACAGTGTTTTCACACACATGTCGCATACAAGGGAACAACCAACATTAGACAACTTGGTCGGACGGACCAACCAGGCTCTGATACCACTAATGTAACACCCTTCTAAACCCCACGGATAATATATGAATAATCAGAGTAAATTTCCATGCATTTACAAAAGGGCATTACACATAACTTTCAAAATATCAAAACCACCTATCATGCTCATTACTATTTCAATATAAAATTATGCTTTACAAAACTTCACTTTGCATGTAGCAGCGAATTCAATTATACCATAATTTTCATAAAAGAAACATTTGTTTTTATCACATAAAACAACATCACTTAGGCACTAAGGCCAACATCATAATATTCCAATGGATATAAACACGTTTATAGAGTACATAATGTATACCTTAAACACAACCCAAGCGATCCCAGTGTTACATGACCAGAGCATGACTCGACCCAACATAATTAAATCACTAAACGGCTACACCAAAAGCGACCTCGTAACTACGAGCAATACTACTCCTTGATACCTGCACGATGTCATGTAGGACATCATTCCAGCAGAAGGGTGAGAAATATTATCATAATAACAATGCATATAATTATATATACACAAATACACAAGCACAAAATACATATATATAATTAAATATGGATAATCACCAAGCATATTCATCATGCACGTATCCATAAATCTCAATATTCCACATGAACATACACATATTATGTTTACTCACTAATTCACAATTACACATTCACAATTCTCAAATCAACAATTCATGTTCATAAGCATACTTTCATACAATGATCACATATTCATAACTCTCAATTACACAAGTAATGCACATACGTATATTTCACCATTCTCACCATACTTCATCATAACTCATCATATACTTCACAAAGCATATATATATATATATATATATATATATATATATATATATATATATATATATATATATATATATATATATATATATATATATATATATATATATATATATATACATATATATATATATAGGCAAATACAATCATCAAACATATCCATAGTTCACAATTACACAAGTCATGTACATACACCTATGCATAACTTCATACAACAATCATATATTCATTCCATGAGACTCAATGCAACTCAATGCAACTCATGCCATGTGGTACCAACACTTGTTATCATTTTTCGGTTTTTACACTTAAACCGGGTCCATCCTTCTAGATCGATAACAACAAAAGCCCGTTCTCTAAGCTTTCAAACCCACCCTTCTAGATTTGGGACAAGCCACTAGTCTCCACAAAACTAGCAAACATTGCCTCTTGACTAAATGATGCATATGCAATCAACAACAAAATGCACTTAAGACCGATCACACGTCTTAATCCCATGCATTCACATAATTCCTCCCTTCAAGAATTAAACAAGATTGCACATACAACATATCATATAATCAAGTATTCATACTTTTCATCAACATATTTGTCAAATAATGCACGCATATCTTACAATATGCTCCCATGCATTAATTCACAATAATCGGATACAACAAATATGCATTCATAATTCAACCTTATTACCTTTTCAAACAATGTACACATATTCACAATATGTTCTCATGCATTCACAATATCGCATATAATCAATATGCATTTACACTTCAATATCATTACCACATTTATCAAGCAATGCACACATATTCACAATATGTTCCCATGCATTCTTCACATACAAACAATATGCATATTTTTGTCAAAAGACTATATTTCATAATCGATTCCACCAACTAGGATTCACGCCATACGGCTATCATAACATGCACAAGCTATACATTATATAACAAAAGTATTCTGCACAATAACACATCAATCACACACATTCGCGACGGTAAAAATCAACACAACAATATGTTTTCAATTTTCTGCTATAATTGAACTAGGTACAGGCCTCAAAACCATTTTTTCTAGAAAGATAATTTCGTTAACTTACCAACGCTTTGAACGGGGGTCAAAACCGACTTACGGTTCAAGAGTTATGAATTTTCGAAGTTTTCCGAAAAACCAGAATTTTGCCTAAACACGGCTACGGGATTTTGCATTTTCGTCCGAAAATCCGACCGATTCAATTCTTTTTTTCGAAACAAACACATACTCATACTCACCTAACATGTAGCAGTGAATTAGAACCATTAAACATGATTTCTACGACGTCCGATTTTCACTCAAATCTCAAACCCTCAATTATCCAAAAATGTCAAAACTCACAAACTCAACCAAATTCAATCAAACGAAATCCAATAATCACAGCTAAACATTACCCGACTAAACTATGCAATTTATTTTGAATTCTAACCGTTCAAAACTCGATTCTACCGATTAAACCATTTATGTCCTAGAAATGGAAAATAGAGAAAACTACCAACAAATCCAACACAACTCATACATAATCATACACATTGATCAAATAATAATGTTTCTCACCCTTACCTTGATTGGATTGAAACTTGAAGTTGGTTCTTGATGATTTCTCCAAGTTTCCCTCTTCTCTTCTCTTTTCTCCTCTTTCTCTATTCTTTCTCTCCTTTTCTTTCTTTCTTTCTCTTATGTTTCTATCTCTTTTCTTTTCTCTCCAATTTCCCTTATATATCCTTTTATTTTCTTTCCATCATAATTCTTCTCTCAAAAATATCTATCAATTCATTTCTCACAAAATATCTCATTTTATCATTAATTAGAGAATATCTAATAAACCCACATTATTCTACCAAGTAGAATAAATTAATTAAATCCATTAACTCATTTAAATAAATCCAATAATTTATTTAAATCAGATAAATCACATAAACCAATTAATTAGCACAATTAATCACTTATTGAAAAATTGGGCTGTTACAATATTAGCATCTTTATTTTCTAGAATTTGTTAAGAACGAGTGGAATTCCTTTTATGTTATAGATAATCTTGCTCAAGTGTTAAAAAAATCAAACTATTAAGGGATAGATTGCGTTTGTGGAAAATATGGTATTTGGTTAGATTGATTTAAAGATAGATGAGGGGTGGATATTTTAAGTGAATTTGAAGTTAATATGGCAAGCAATAGTGGTCAAACATCAGTGAAAGATCTGGTGAAGAGTAGTGTGGCTCAGGAGGCTATTTGGAAGAATTTACACTTAAAAGAAAGTATCCTAAAACACAAGTCAAGGTTGAAATGGGTGCAGAAGGATGACCTAAACTCTAAACATTTCCATTATATTCTCAAATGCAGAACTAGAAGGAATTTTATTATATCCATTCAAGCTGGATCAGGGGTTGTGGAAGAGGTGATAGTGGTTAAGAAGGTCATAAAGGATCACTTTGAATCCAAGTTTCAAAGAAAATATATTCAGAGGCCTAAGCTGGATTACTCGGACTTTATTAAACTTTATAGAGATGAGAGCCTGAGGCTGGAGAAGGAGTTTACTGAGAATGAAATTAAAGAGGTAATCTTAGATTTCAAAGGGAATAAAAGTCCAAGACCATATTTAAATATGGAATTTTGGAAGAGATGTTGGGAGGTGGTTGGGATTGATATGGTGAATTATGTATACAATTTTCATTCTACATAAAGGTTACCCAAATCTTTGCCCTCTTCATTCTTAGCTTTGATTCCCAAAAATGATAACCTTCAAGGGTTGGGGGAATATAGGTCAATCTGTCTTATTGGATGTGTGTATAGAGTCATCTTGAAAATTCTACAAGATTAAGGTGTGTTATAGGTAGCCTGATATCTAAGTCTCAAACATCATTCATCCTTAGAAGACAAATATGTGATAGTTTTGTGGTTATAAATGAGCTTTTAGACTTTGCTAAAAGAAAGAAGAAGAGTTGTTTATTATTTAAGGTTGACTTTGCTCAAGCATATAATCGTGTTTATCGGAAATTCCTAAAGGAGATGATGATGGCTATGGGTTTTGGAACATAGTGGCTAAAGTGGATGGATTGAGGTGTCTTTACTAGTTATATGTCAATTCTGGTCAACACAAGTCCAACTAAAGATTTTACGATGAATAGGGGGTTGAGACAAGGAGATCCCCTGTCTCTTTTTTTGTTTTCCATTGTTGTTGAATGGTTAGAATCGATGGTTAGAAGAGTTACCAATTTGGGTGTGATACATGGGTTTAAAGTCAATGATAATGTATCTTACAATCTATTGCAATTTGCAGACGACGCGATTTTAGTGTGTGATGAGTCATGGTCTAATCTATGGGCAGTGAAATCAATACTTATGGGGTTTGAAATGGTATCTGGCCTGAAAATCAACACTTGGGAGAGTTATTTATATGGAGTTGGCATTGAAGACCACTTTCTAAATGATGTTGCACATTTCTTAGCATGTAAGAAGGATTCTCTACCTTTTAAAAATCTTGGTCTCATAGTGGAGGCAACCATAGAAGGGTGTCATTTTGAAAGCTGGTTATCTCGAGTTTTAAGGCAAGACTCTCACCATGGAATGGTAGAGTTATGTTCATAGGGGGAAGAGTGACTCTTATCAACCCCATGCTAATGAATATGCTTATCCATCATCTATCTTTCTTTAAAGCCCCGGGTAAAGTGTTGCATGAAATTATATCAATCTAGAGGACCTTTTTATGGTCAGGTTCAATTGTTAAAAAAGGTATGCCATGGGTTAGTTGGGAAACTGTTTGCAAGTCTAAGGATGAGGGTGAGATTGGCATTAAAAACATTGTCTTATTCAATAGGGCATTGCTAACTAAATGGTTGTGGAATTTTAGTATGGAAAGAGATGCAATTCGGGTTGGGATCTTGGAAGAAAGATATGGGAACATTGTTAGAAGAATCATATCCAAAGATGTGCCTAGAGTCAAATATCATGAGTCATTATGGTGGAAGGATTTGATGTTGATTGGAGATTCATTGAAGGAAGCTGGTTTTTCTAAGTTTCTATCCTTTAGGTTAGAAGATGGAGCTATTATCTAATTTTGGTCTTCTGGGTAGATTGGTCACATGACATTGCAAAATCTTTTTCCTAGTTTTATGTTCTAATAGAAAAGATGGACTGGTGCGGGATATAGGTGTGTGGGAAGGGGATGTTTGGAAGTGGTAGTTACGCTTCATCAGTTTCGAGGAGGATCCTGCATAAATGGAGGTATACAACGAGCTGCTACAATTGATGTGTGAAATATTCCCCAAAATTGATGAACCTGATGTGGTGCTTTGGCCCCATGGTACTTTCAATTTATTTTCTATTAATTCTTGCTATTATCGGTTGCTGCGGATTGTGGGAGTAAGATAATTGGATATATTAGCTAAGGTAGCACTTGGTGTGATTTGGAAAGCAAAGATCCCATCGAAAGTGAAGATTTTTGGCTAGAGGTTGGTTATAGATAGGCTACCCACTCAAAGTAATTTAGCTATTAGAGTGGTAGTTCATACCCTCATGACAAGGTTTGTGTTTTTTGTTTTGATCCTGATGAAGATATCCACCATTTTTTCCTTTCTTTTCCTAGAATTATGTTGGTGTGGAAGAAAATCATGGCTTGCATTGGTGTGTCTTGGATTAATGAAACGCAGTGTTGTAATTATCTACTGATATGAATAGAAAGATTGAGAGATAGGTGCTCGAAGAAGTCCAAATTCATTATTTGGTTTGTTGTACGTTGGTGTATCTGGTGCTCTATAAATCAAATCAATTTCAACAATGAAATAGGGGATCCATAGGTAATTGTGCAGAGAATTTTAACCTTTTCGCGGTGGTGATTGGTGATTGGCGATTGGGTAAAATCATATAATTAAATATAATTACTATGAATGGTGTAAATGTCCACTTGATTTCCTTTAATTAGAAGGCGGTTATTGGAGGTTGTAACTAATTTTATATATTAGATTAAAGTAACCCTAGTACTCCATATAGAATGTTATACTCCTTATAAAAAAAATAGTTAGTAGACTAAGAAGGTTTTGATTTTAAAACTCTTAATAATAGTCAATTTTTATAATGATTAATTAGTTTCCATTTTATTCTTGATGAATGTTAAATTGAACTTTAATGATATAAATTTAAATATAAATAGCAAATAAAAATGTTATAAATTGATAATTAAATTATATGATTATGCAGCAACACCATTTTTATGATTTATAAGCCACATTGTTTATATAATTCATTGATATTTTATTTCAATAATAAAATATTATGAAACTTTAAGCAATTCATTTTTTATTTTTAATCAATACTATTTCAAATTAAAATATTAATTAATTATTATTTTAGACAATCTTAACTTTTATATAAAAAAAACATGTATTTTATTTATAATACTTTTACAATTCCTATGTTATTTATTTTTGACACATTCACTACTACAAATAATACATCTAACGTCAGTCGCAAAATATATTTAACCTTGACTACACAGACGAAGTAATGAAGGGCGACATGAAAAGCAATCACTTGTCATCTCGGTGTTTCTAAAATTGATGTTGAAAATTAAAAGGTCATGGGTTTGATCCCCATCAACTACATATTTTTTATTTTATTAATTTTATTGCGCACGTCATATACCTCTCGATTGTATTTAAAGACCGGCGTAATAAGGTATTCATTTATCTCGGTTTTAAGTAATAACCGAGGGATAAAAACTCATTTTTTGTTTGTACCATTTTCATTGGCATGTATAATTTTGCCTATATCATTTTCACTAGCATGTATCATATCATTATAAATCTATTAACCAATGAATACTAGATTTACATTATTTTAAATCTTAGTTTCACCTGTCTGTATCAATTTTTACACAGGAACTACAAAATATGCGACAAAATTGTAACATATTATATCATTTAAACCAATGTTAGAAATTTACACTATTATTATTATTAAGACAAAATACACACATTTACATATTTGCACACAAAAAATTAAGGAAATTTACACTTTTAGAACCAAAAAAAAATTATTATTTTAGAGAATCATAATAAGATAAATAGACTCTGACCCAACGTGATCGAATGTCATCCATATCTTATTTTTAGTATGGTGTTTTGTTGTTAAAATCCTATAACTAGAACAAATATTAAATCATGATAAGCTAACAACAACACGAACTTAAAAAGATATTGATTAAGTTAATACCTTATGTTTCATCCATCTATTTGTAATGTTTGTGGAGACAATACTAAACATATATGTATCCACATGAATGGTTGTCGGGTTGTTTTTGCCACTACAAATAATTTTCTTATATTTATATCACACGAATATACACAAATAATATAATATCAAAAAACACAAGTAATGTAATTACTTTTGAAAAATATAGATTGTCTTTTTATCAAATACGTTATGTTTGAGTGCATTATACTCATGGACAAATCTACCATAAGGCACATTGTGGCTATAGCCACACCAATTTTTTTTCTTCATTTTTCTTATATATATATATATATATATATATATATATATATATATATATATATATATATATATATATATATATATATATATATATATATATATATATATATATATATATATATATATATATATATATATATATATATATATATATATATATATATATATATATATGTCTGTGTGTGTGTGTATATCAATTTTTTCTTCTTTTAATGTTTTAAAAATATGATCGATTTGATGAGGGTGAATAATTGATTTATTGATCGAATTATTGTATCACGGGTCGAACCATATGATTAAACTGGATTAAATCGAAAGATTCAGTTGAATAAATCAAATAATTCAATTGAATGAATTTGTCTCTATAACAAAATTCATAGTTATTAAACTCCTCCAACTTCCTATCCTGCTCCTTCCTCCAACTCTTCCTCTCTCATTCAAAGTTTCTATCATGCTTCTCCCTTTCCTTCTACAACTTAACAAAAATAATCTCTTTAATCTCTCTCTCTCTCTCTCTCTTACAAGTTTTTCTATCTAGATTATTTAAATGGTCCAAAATATGCCTTAAAGCAAACGCCTCTTCCAAGATCACGGACATGCTCAGGATGCTCCTCGGTTCCAATCGCTTCTACCAAGATGTCATGGTGATCTTGTGAAGTGAAGAGGCCGACTTTAGTTTGTTCAACCAAATCATCCTACAACACATAAATTTTTATCTTTAAAAAATTGATTTAACTAAAATAAATATTGTTGAAAAAGTATTTATTTACAATCCTTTGAGCCACTTCGCACGTAACATCTGATGTGAACTCGTCGTCTTTTCTTTGATGTGCCCTCTTCCATTTCTCGTGGCGTGATAGTGGAGATGGAGTGTGATCAAGACTTATAGAACCTCTCGGCTCTTCCTCCGTTTGTTTTCTTTTTTTCTTCCATCATCTTCTTTTCAATTTTTTGATATCCTCCACGAGACAATCTATGTGGATAGACATTTCTAGCTTGATTTTCCTTTCCTTTTTGGCTTTTTACCAAGAAGGCAGGAGTGATACGAGTCTCTACAAATTTCTCTCAAACATCTTGATCAATATATGAATATACATCGTGTCGAGACTTTTCTTTATCTTATCCATTTTTAATATAATTATGGATGAGTTATGTCTTAAAGCCTCTCTAACGCTCACCACAATATGTAAGCATATTCTTTTTCACATTATTATCATCTGGACTAACAATGAACACTTCCCATTTTTACACAATAGAGATGTTATTAGTATTAAACAAAAAATAAATGATCATATATAATTGCAAATACAACATAAAATACTTGAACATCTTTCCATATGGCGTCTTTCATGTCCTCTTCAACATCGTGGCAACTATATATCAAAATATTCACTTTACTTCTACCTTGTAACATAATATAACCCATAAAATCGTCAGGATGTTCACTATAAGCTCTGTTGGTTGCAGCATCAACTGTAACCGGGTAGCGAACATGGGTTTCATGGTCTTTTTCACCTTGGTATACATCGTTGCACCTCTAGTTTTTCTTCTCCAACTTGTATTAATGTATGTTGCACTAGATGTTGTATGAGAGGTACTTGTCGAATCGGCCATGACTATCAAGAGACAAATAAGTAGAAACAAAATGATCAAGAGATAAATAGTGAAAAACAAAATGATATAACTCATTTCAGTGATATATAACTCGCTTCAGTGAATAACAAACCTATTAAAAAATGATATTTGTTGACAAAATGACTATCTTAATAAACCTTAAAATGATCAAGAGAAACTATACTAACCAACGTTTCAATAAAAACAAATGAAAAATCATAGAAACAAAATGATCAAAAGACAAACTAACATAAAACCCTAGACAAAGTGATCAATGAAAAACAAAGTGATATCAAACTCGTTTCAGTGAAGAACAAACCTGTTATGAAAATGACGTTTGATGAATATCTGTTGGAAGATTTTTGATGAATATCAGCTTTAAAACTGCCTAGGATTTATTGTAAAATGAGAGTATGTTGAATGCCAAACTCTCTTTAAATTGATCCTTATTTATTGACATTTTTCAACTCTTTTTTTTATGT